GGGGGTGGAACCGCATGCGGGCGCAGCCACTGGGGCCTTCGGTGGAGCTCCCTATGGGGCCACGAAACGTGTGAGGGGTGTGCCAGAATGTAGGGTGGAACCGCATGCGGGCGCAGCCACTGGGGCCTTCGGTGGAGCTCCCTATGGGGCCACGAAACGTGTGAGGGGTGTGCCAGAACGGGGGGTGGAACCGCATGCGGGCGCAGCCACTGGGGCCTTCGGTGGAGCTCCCTATGGGGCCACGAAACGTGTGAGGGGTGTGCCAGAATGGGGGGTGGAACCGCATGCGGGCGCAGCCACTGGGGCCTTCGGTGGAGCTCCCTATGGGGCCACGAAACGTGTGAGGGGTGTGCCAGAATGGGTGTGGGAGGGGGAGGAGGGGGGAGGAAGGGGAGGAGGAGGAAGGAGGAGGAGGAACGCGGGGCGACGTCTCTTCAAAACGAGGACCCAACACCACAGGATGGTTGGGAACAAGACAAGAGCGGCCAGACTGGCAAGGTTTTCTCGCGCACAATACACACACACGCACACACACACACTGCTTCCTCCAGTGGCGAAGTGACGACACCGTCGCGATGTGCTAAGCTGGGACATGCGTAGGCGAATTTCCGCTTGCCGTAGCAGACCGGTGGTTTGGACAGGCACACACGCTTTCTCTCCAGCGGCGAGGCGGCTACACAATCACGATCGCGAAGCCGGGGATGGCAAGTGGATGGGTGGACTGGATGGGAGCAGTCGCCTGCAGAAAAAAATTAGCCTGACGAAAGACCCAACCATACGTAGTTGTGAATACCGCAATTGTGGATATATTCCTCGGTGGCGCCCCCGGGCCACGAAACGAGCGAGGGGTGTACCGAAATGGGGGGTGGAACCGCATGCGAACGCAGCCATTGGGGCGTTCGGTGGAGCTCCCTATGGGGCCACGAAACGTGTGAGGGGTGTGCGAGAATGGGGGGTGGAACCGCATGCGAGCGCAGCCACTGGGGCGCTCGGTGGAGCTCCCTATGGAGCCACGAAACGTGTGAGGGGCATGCCAGAATGGGAGTGGAACCGCATGCGGGCGCAGCCACTGGGGCCTTCGGTGGAGCTCCCTATGGGGCCACGAAACGTATGAGGGGTATGCCAGAATGGGGGGTGAACCGCATGCGGGCGCAGCCACTGGGGCCTTCGGTGGAGCTCCCTATGGGGCCACGAACGTGTGAGGGGGTGCCGAAATGGAGGGGGGGGGGGGGGGAAACCACATGCGAGCGCAGCCACTGGGGCCTTCGGTGGAGCTCTCTATGGGGCCACGAAACGTGTGAGGGGTGTGCCGAAATGAGGGGGGGAACCACATGCGAGCGCAGCCACTGGGGCGTTCGGTGGAGCTCCCCATGGTGCCACCCACGAAGCGTGTGAGGGGTGTGCCGAAATGGGGGGTGGAACCGCATGCGGGCGCAGCCACTGGGGCCTTCGGTGGAGCTCCCTATGGGGCCACGAAACGTGTGAGGGGTGTGCCAGAATGGGGGGTGGAACCGCATGCGGGCGCAGCCACTGGGGCCTTCGGTGGAGCTCCCTATGGGGCCACGAAACGTGTGAGGGGTGTGCCAGAATGGGGGGGTGGAACCGCATGCGGGCGCAGCCACTGGGGCCTTCGGTGGAGCTCCCTATGGGGCCACGAAACGTGTGAGGGGTGTGCCAGAATGGGGGGTGGAACCGCATGCGGGCGCAGCCACTGGGGCCTTCGGTGGAGCTCCCTATGGGGCCACGAAACGTGTGAGGGGTGTGCCAAAATGGGTGGTGCGGGACGCAGCCACTGGGGCCTTCGGTGGAGCTCCCTATGGGGCCACGAAACGTGTGAGGGGTGTGCCAGAATGGGGGGTGGAACCGCATGCGGGCGCAGCCACTGGGGCCTTCGGTGGAGCTCCCTATGGGGCCACGAAACGTGTTAACGTGTGAGGGGTGTGCCAGGACTGGGGGGTGGTGCTGGCCTTGCGGGCGCAGCTCCCTATGGGGCCACGAAACGTGTGAGGGGTGTGCCAGAATGGGGGGTGGAACCGCATGCGGGCGCAGCCACTGGGGCCTTCGGTGGAGCTCCCTATGGGGCCACGGAACGTGTGAGGGGTGTGCCAGAGTGGGTGTGGGAGGGGGAGGAGGGGGGAGGAAGGGGAGGAGGAGGAATGAGGAGGAGGAACGCGGGGCAACGTCTCTTCAAAACGAGGACCCAACACCACAGGATGGTTGGGGAACAAAAACGCGAAAACGGACGAACGTGGAAGAAACTGGCGCGCCAACACAACAATGCAATAGACGCAGGAAGCGTGCACAATACTGAATCCGCAATCCGGCTGTAAGGGCACGACGCGAGAGTGGCCAGGAAACGTGGAGGAAGTACCGTCCCAATCGATGGCGGGCACACACGCAAGTACACACACACACACACTGTTTGGCGATCGCGGCCCTGCGCGCAGCGAAGAGGCGAAGTAAGTTAAGCACAGCGAACGGGACCCCGCGCGCGCCGGCCTCAGAACAGGGCCACACCATATGCCATCTGGGCGTGGATGGCATGGAGAAGGCCAGAACAAGAGACGAAACCGACCCGACGCCCTGGGGAAGGAACCCGCACGGCCACAAGCGACGGCGAGGACGGCGACGAGGGAGAGATGACAGGCGCGCGCTCTGGGAGCTCTGCAGCGGACGAAGCGCGAGAGAGGTGAGCGGAAAGCGGTGGAAGAGCGGAGCGAAAGAGAGACAGGAGGCTCAACGCCTTGGGCTGCGCCCCCCGTGGGGTCGGGAAAGGCTGCGAGAAGAGTGCTGCCTCTGGGGAGAAGCAGCGTAGCTGCTCCCAGCCTGCGCGGCAGGGACCTCCCCCCTCCTCACATGCGATCGCAGGCACACACAAACACACACGCACACACTCGCTCCTATCTCTGGCCCAAGACAGGCCAAGCCGGAACGTACACCGGGCGTATCGCGCCCAGACATACGACACCTCGACACTTTCTGCGATGTGGGCCAAAAGTGCACAGAGCTCTCGACCCCGTCCCTGGGACAATCGCTTCATCCCCGCACGTCCACTGCCCTGGGGCTCGTGAAGCGAAACTGCGGAGGCCGAAAATGAAGGAAGCATCTGGCCTCTTCCTGGCTGGCCAGACCCAGGTCACCCCACTTCGCGCGTCGCGCCCCTCGACGCGCGCATACCTTCCTGTCGTCACAGCGCCACCCTGGAGAAAGACACACTCTCCAGCCCAAGACGCGACACGCGCAGCGGGATGAGGTTCGCGGCCCTGGGCTGTGAACTAGCAGCCGTCTGGGTCGGTGCGTCGTGGGCGCTCCCCGACAGCCCGCTGGCGCCGTCGAGCTGATCGGACTCGTCCTGGAGAAGGACGGTGAATCCTGGGCGGAACGGTCGGCGGGCTTGGCCGCCGGGGCGGCTGGAGGAAGGAGGAGAAGGAACAGGGAGAGAATGAGAGGAGGGGGAGGAGCGGGGAGGAGGGGAAGAGGCGGAGCAGGAAGGGGGAACACTGAGGGGGGGGGAACGAGCACCAGGAGCATGGGATGGGGAGGGAGAGAGAGGAGAGGGGGGGTGGGCGCAGGCGGGAATGGAAGAAGGAAGACGAGGGGTGCGGGTTCGAGGAAGGCGGAGGCGCGGGAGGCAGGATAGGGGAGGCCACGTGGAAGAGGGGCAGGCAGGCATGCAGGCACGCCGACCAGGGCAGCAGCGGCCGAACACGCGGCCGCGCGGCCATTCAGAAGACCCTCGTAGGCCTCCTGCCAGTCCCGCTGGCCAGCCCTCCGCATGCAACGCCCCATGGCTGGAGAAGTCAACACTCCCCGCCAGGGGAGCGCACAACCCCTCAGACCCACTCGCGGCTCCATAGGGACGTCCTCATCCTCCTTTCTACCTTCTCACCGCAACGCCCCTCCCCCTCCCGGGGTCCTCCTGCTCCTGACAGGCTCCGCTTCCACCCCACGCACCTACCCACTGCGCATTGTCATCCTCCTCATGCTCGTGCTCCTTCTCCCCTCGAGCCTACAAAATGGTGTCTCTCTTCCTCCTCCTCCTCCTCCTCCTCCTCCTCTTCCTCCTCCTCTTCCTCCTCCTCCTCCTCCTCCTCCTCCTCCTCCGACTCCTACTCCTCGCCGTCCTCGTCCTCATGACGTCGACGTCCTCCCTGTGCCACTTCTGACGCAAAGACCCAAGCTGCCCTTCCCTACATGGGAGCTCTGAGATAGAAGGAAAGATAAATAGAGAGAGAGAGAGAAACAAAAACACAAGAGAGAGAGAGAGAGAGAGAGACAGGTAGAGGTGGAGAAAGCGAGAACACAGAGTGAAGGAGAGAGAGAGAGAGAGAGAAAAAAAAACAAAGACAGATCCACACAGGTGGCACGAAATCAACAATATCATACCGACACAAGCAAGTGAAGAATCGAACGAACGCAGCATGTGTCAAGTCGCAGGTCGGTCCAGTATAATCACTATGAGCTCTGTATCGCAGCGCACCCTCTTTCAGCCCGAGGGGGGCCACAGGAGGGTAGTGGTTGATAACTGCGGGTGGAGGGGGGCGCACAACCAAAGGTGCATACAGGAAGCAGGGCTGGGATTCGAGAGATGTTTCACGCCAGACAATCAGGCAAGAACATGAGCATATGCCTCGCATCCGCGTGCATCAACATCAAGCGGGAACTCGTGGTGGGATACGCGGGGGAAGACATCTCACCGAACAATAGTGCGTTGCTTGATCGGCGAACCGCGAAACACACATTGTATCCACAATGACAATCTGATGGGCGCCGCTGTTGCCGCGTAATCGCACTACGCTCGTCCTGTGCTATCGTCAAGTGGGGAATGGCTCTCAATGTTGGTGTGCTCACCTGCAACACAACAAACAAAATACGTATTGCAGTGCCCGGCTGTAGCGTGCACGTGCGCGATTGTTTGGGCTGGCAGGCAAACTGCGCATGGCAACATATGCACATACGGCCAGTACTGCTCACATGCTGCAAGCTCAAGGGATCATACATTAGGGAAAGAAATATAAACAGAGATAGAGAGAGGCAGAGATAGCGAGAGTACCCACAACGCTGGCAGGAGGATCGTAGAACCGATCGAAATAATCGGGCTCCAGCCCCAATGCCATTGCACTCATCCTGGGACGGGGAACGATATACTTTGAAGGTCTCACTGCACACGCCATGCCTTCACATGAGGGTACCTGAACATCGTGGCACAATGGGCATTGCTCTTGAGTCTACACGCGGATGCGTATCATGTCTGTGGTGCGCGAGATCCCGCTGTCCAATCTTAAACGCATGCGCAACTACAAGAATGTCATGTTCCTCTTCTTCGTCATCTCTCCGTCTACTCCTTCATCAATCCGCTTGCGGCTGACGTGTCCTGCCCTCCTCCTTCTCTCTGCCTCTGCGCCCTCCTCCCTTTGAGATTCCCCCGTCCTGCCTCCTCCACCCCAACCTCCTGCTTCTTCTCCACCTCCTCCTTCCTCCTGTTTGCTCCCTTCTCCCTCCTGCTCGCTCACACATGCCGACGCATCCGACGCCATGACTTATTCGTGGCATGGGACCTGGACCACTAAACCCGACCCCAAAGACCGAAAGTTTCTTCGTCTTGGTCGCAAAGCCCGAAAGCTTGGAGAGACCGGCCGTCAAATGTTGGTTCGTGGCGGCCTCGAAGGCCGTGGATGCAGCAGAGAAGGGAGTGAGAAGGAGGAGGAGAAGAGAGTAGGGGGGGGCCCGGGGGGGGGACAGGATGAGCGAGGAAATAGATAATAGAGGAGGGGCGAGGCAGGGGGACAGGCAAGAGGGACGGAGTAGAAGGATGATGGCAGAAGAGGGGCAGGGTAAGGCAAAGAGGGAGCATGGAGGAAGATGAGAAGAAGGAGAAAGATGGATGATCGAGGCGCTTGGAATGGAGGATTTCCAGAGGCCTCGTGGAGGAGGCGGAGGAGCACGACCGACTAACTAGGGCCCTCCGATGCGTCTGCCCCCTTGTTGGAACTTTTCTCGTCGACGGCTGCTGCTCTTCGGCCGAACATTCTGGCCGTGCCGACAGCGGCGCCCTGGCTCTCGCTGTTCCAGACAGGAGGCCCGGATGCCGCCGAAAGCGGCGCTCTGGCACTCGCTGTTCCGGACAGGAGGCCCGGATGCCGCCGAATGGGGCCCGCGGCGCAGACGAAGGCCGCCCGCGTCCGGCCTGGGGGCCAGTGGTCCGGACGCGGGCACGCTGGCGCGTGGAGGGCGCGCTGGGTGCCGCCCCGCCCCTCCCGCCGAGCCCCCCCCCCCCCGCTCCGCCCCTCCTCCGCGCCTGCCCCCCCGCGATGCCTCCCCCGAGCCAGCGGTCCTCGGCACGTCCGCCTCGGCCCAGGGGGGTGCAGGCAAAAACCCGTGTGGGCGGCACCACGGTCCACCGACGGGTCTTCGAGGCGCGGCTGCTGCCGCCGTGGCTTTCACTCCTCGCCGCGGCGGCTGGGGCAGACGCCTCCGTGGCCGTCGCGCCAGCACTGCAGCCGATGTGTCGTAGAGCCACGGCGCTGCAGTTCAGGTCAGTGCAGGGAGGCCGCCAGGCCTCGAGGAGGAGGGAGGAGAAGGACGATGACAAGTGCAAACCCAAGACGCATCAGCGATGTTGCAATAAATACTCCCTCCCTCCAACAGCTCTGTGCATAAGTCCCTACACAAATTTAATTCCATAATGGAAAATGGCCCATTCATTGACAACCGTTTGAACACCCTCAATCGTGCGGGAACGCCGTTCCTGGGACTTCACCGTCGCCGATCGACGCGACCGCTGCGTCCTGACAACCCTGAACCGTGACAGAGCACAGTCCCTAAGTCGCGCCAGAACACAATTCCTGCGATTTCGACCGCACGAATCCTTGACACTGCTGCCGGATAGTGATACGCATGAGCGCGGCGCGGAGGCGAGAACCACATGCTGAACAAAAACCCGTCCTCCCTCCTTACACCTGTTGCGGTTTCAATGCGGCGAGAACCACATGCAGAAAACGACCCGCCCTCCATCAACGAACCTGCTGCAAGTGTTTGCGGCATTGATGCGAGAACCACAAATCAACCCCTCCCGCCCTTGATCCGCGAAACTGTTTCAGAAGGTTTGCAGCGAATGAGCGCGGCGCCATAGCGAGAGCTCAAATTTTGGAAACAACCCGCCCTCCGCCCGTGAATATGTTTCAAATCTCAGGTTTCACAGTCGTAACTCGCGAGGTCGTCTGAAGTAAAGCGACTGGTCCGTCCTACCAACACGTCTGGGGGTGCGACAGGGAAGAGTGTGTATGTTTGTAGTTTTCTTTGTTCATTAAGAAGAATAGATGGTGGGATGAGGAGGAGGACCGATCAGGATGTTGAGCGCTTCGGGGCCTCTTTGGTCCTCTACTGGCGCCCTCGTGGCAAGGATTCGATCCGCCTCGAAATTCCCAGGACAGCTCTGGGGGCGATCTTTGGAGAGGAGGTGGAGGGGAAGGAGAAGAGGGAGAGTGTAGAGAAGAAAAG